AGAACAGGGGGAGTAAGAAGAACACAGAGAGGAGGGGGAAGAGTAAGAAGGACACAGGGAGGAGGGGAGAGAAAGGGAGATGAGGAGAACACGGAGGGGGAGGTGAGAAGAACACAGGGAGGGTGGGGGAGTGAGAAGAACACAGGGAGGGTGGAGGGAGTGAGTAGAACACATGGGGGAGGTGAGGAGAACACATGGGGGGGTGAGAACACAGGGAGGGAGGGGGCTGAAAAGAATACCGGAGGTTTGGGGGGGTGGGGGGATGAGAAGAGCACAGGGAGGGTGGGTGGGTGTGAGAAGTGACTGCTAGGGAAGGGGGGGGGAGAGACCACTAAGGGGCAGGGGAGAGCTCTATAGGACAGGGGGCAGGACAGGGAGCTCTTTCACACTACGTGCACACACACACAATGCATCCCTATACATACACAAACACACAATGCATCCCTACACACACAGAAACACAACATGCTTCCCTTACACACAGAGAAACACACAATGCATCCATTACACACAAAGACAATGCATCCTTTGCACACATACACAGAAACACACAATGCAAACCCTTACACACACATGCAAACACACACACTGCTTCTCTTACATATACACAGAAACACAATGCATTTCATACACACACTCAATGCACACACTACAGACACACACCTTGCATCCCTAATGCATACAAACACAGATTCACACAATACATCGCTTATACACAAACACACACTGCCTCCACTACAAATACACTGCATCACCTACACAAACTGGTATCCCTATACACTACATACCATAAGCACACACATTAGATCCTCTACAATAACACATCCCCTACACACTCCACTCCCTGTGAGCGAACTCATGGGTGGAACATGTAGGTAGACTTTTAGGTGGGCCTTATGGGCATACTCACCGTCAGGCCCTGGGACCCAGACCTTGAGCTGTTTAAGGGGCCCCCAAAAAATGGAGCTGCTTCCCATTCTACTAGAACTTTGAATTTTGTGACCACAGTTACAAACAGCCTTCAGAGATCCTCTTCTACACCAGACCAGTGGAGCCAAACCGCAGCCCATCATCATCCTCATCTGGTTGTAAGTAGGCAATCTAGTATATTATTAGTGACACTAATCTATAATTTACCTCACATTAAAGGGACACTATAGCTTAATGAAGTGGTTCTGGTGTCTATAGCCGGTCCCTGCAGGCTTTTTAATCTAAACACACACTGTGTCTACACTGTGTCTACTGGTGACCCACAGGAGGGGATTGCACTGCACTCTCCTCCTGCCCAGACCTGTCTTTACCGCAGTGCAAGTGCCCTCTGCCCCTAATTTACAGTGGCTCACACTCACAGCAAGCAGTGCCTGGAGCCCTTTGCAGCGATGGGAACAAAGAGGTTCTGCGGCAGGTGGCCGTCCTGCAAACATTACATTAAACAGCTGTTCCCCATGCAGCCACAGGTGGCGCTGTGCTGGGAGAATGTGATTACTCTTCACTTCCTCCCAGCCTACAGCGCAGCGCATGGGAGAGGGAGAGGAGGAGGCATGATTTAATCTTACAACAAATCCATTCAGCAAATCTTTGGGGGATCAGCTCTGTTTGCACAGTTTATTGGTGTTTACTCTGATGTCTGTATTAATATTGAGGGATTTCTAAGTAGTAACATCAGTATGTGTCAGCAGGGCCAGATGTTGGGGTGTGCAAGCTGTGCGGTCATGCAGGGTGCCATGACAACAGAGGCGCCCGGCGGCCAACACAGCTCACAAGTTGGGGACACCAGGCCAGCATATTCAATTTAAATGATTCGCTGGTGGTCCACTGGTGCGCACCAGCAGTAGGTGCAGTCAGATTATATCCTCTCTCTCATGGTTCTGGCGCTCAGTTAGAGAGTCAGAGCACAGGATCAGAGATTCTCAGCCTGCGCTCTGACAACATTGAAAGTCAGAGCCGTGAAGGAGCGGGTATGACAAAGAGCTACTGATTAGCATAACATCAATATCCGTTATAAAACCAGGTGGGCATGGATGGTGAACTGATTTGGTGGTGCAATGGGCCACTTGACTGGTTTTTCCCCCCAGGCCTAAGGCTGCCAGCCCTCCCCTGGACACAGTCATACAGAGACATACTGACACAGGCATACATACACAGGCATATAATCATACAGAGACATACGGACACAGGCATACAGGGCAGGACCAGATCCAGAACCTAATCTCGAGAAGGGTAGTAAATTGTAGTGGGGTGATAGGGTCTATAATTGAGAAGTTAGGGGCTGTAGTGGGGAGTAGAGGGGCTGTAGTTGATGGTTAGTGTAGCGGAGAGGTAGTATAATCTACAGTATCTCCGCTGGGTAACAGGAACAACATAAAATAATCCAAGGAAATTAATACAGCATACAATAATCCCGGTAGCGTTATAAGAATCCTTCCTTCCCAAGAACTAGATGACACATAGACTGGGAGTCAACTGAGCTTTTAATCACAGGTCACTGTATTTATGGGATTCCTCATGCAAGGGGTTCCCTACTGACATCAAACCCCCAACGTTTCGTTTCGGCACCAACTGGCTTTATCCTTGATAAAATCATGCCAGTTGGTGCCGAAACATTGGGGGGTTTGGTGACTCGTGTTTCTGTCTTGCGGCTTGTAAGAATTTTTGTGGTAATTTATTATTATTTTATTGTATTTGCCCTTGCTTCTGTCACTTTGTTTATTTTTTCTTATATGTTTTCACTCTGGTATTTTTTGTACATAATAAAGCTAGGTTTCTTTGAGATTGTTATAGTGTGCATTCTATATTCTATATAAATTAGAACTGAACAACACATACATTTCTCCCACCATGCACTGCTGTACGAGAGGGATACTCCCACTAGAATATACCATTAAGTGGATTATGCCTCCGTGCAGCAGAACTTACATTTCACATTAAAATACATAACTTCCATTATATTCACTTTATTTAAACGAATGGACGCTCGGTAGATAGCTGGAGTCTGAGCGCACAGTTCGTGAGAACACCGCTCAGCTCCCAGCCTAACTAACCGAACGCCGTACGAAATACACATTATTTCCAAAACACTGTTAAAGTACCGATTGGTATTAGGGGAACAAACTACCGAACACCCGGGGCTCCCGAACGGCCTGGAAGTCCAGCGGTGTTCGCGCCGCGAGTAGCCGATTTTAGTTCCAGGCGCTCAACGGCAAAACACCGCTGGGCTAACAAAGGAACCAAGATGGCCGACCACTGCGTGGTTGGTAGCCGAACGACGGCCACCTGGGAAAGCTTTAATCTACCGATTGCAACAATGTTGTAATCGGTTAATGGGCGCCACACGACCTCTTGTGTGTGGTCGTCCATTCGGTAGTTTATTTGTTTCACGAACAGTGTTGAAACTCACTGTTCGTGAAACTACAGTATGAATGCTGGGGTTTTCATCCCGCCAGCATATGAATGCCCTCATTCGCCTGAAAGGAACATACAGCAATACACTTGGTTCTCACAGCTGAAACAGGGATAGGAACATATTCCTATAGTTATAGTCTTAAGTGGCTAGTTTTGCCACAGTTAGGGACTGTAATTGGGGGCTGAGGAAATGTAGTAGGGGATATGGGCTGTAGTATGGGGCTTAAGGACTGAAGTAGGTTGGTGGCTGCAATTGGGGAAAGGGACTGCAGTGTGAGGGATATGGGCAGCAATTGGGGAAGAGTGGCTATAGTGGGGAGGATATGGGAATGCAGTGGGGATTAAGGTAGGTAGTAAGGGAATAGGGGCTGTAGGGGAGTCATGTGGTGTAAAAGGGGGGTTAGGGGCTGCATGTGGGGACAATAGAGGCTGTAGTAGAAGGAATATGGAGTTTAGGGGCTGTGGTGGGAGGCACAGGGGCAGTAGAGGGTGGGCAGGGATAGTAAAGGGGGGCAGTAACAGTTGAGAGGGGGCACAATGTCTGTAGAGGTAGGGGTGGTGTCTGTAGGAGGGGACATGGGCTGTAGAGGGGACAGGGGCAGTAGAGGGAAAGACCGGGGCTGTAAATGGGGGACAGGGGCAGTAGTGGGAAATACAGAGGGGGGACAGGGGCAATATAAAGGGCGCAGAGACAGTATAATTGGCACAGGGGCTATTAATGGGGGGAACAGGGACAGTATGGTGGGCACAGGGGTAGTAGAATGGGACAGGGACTGTAGGGGGGATAGGGTCAGTATGTTGAGGGAAGGAGCTGTTGAGAGGGGCTTCTACAGAAAAACAAAAAACATTTTGATCTAAAAAGAAAACAAAAAACTAGAAGGTCCCTGGTGGTAGGTGGGATGGGCCAGACAGGAGCTGGAGGCTGGAGATCTACTCAGGACCGCTGGGAAGTCTAGGAGCCGTGGAAGTCACACCCCCTCCTTCTGACATCATCAGAGGAGGCCAGCTGACTTGCTGCTGCTGTTTGCAGGCTGCAGGAAGAGTGAGGTGAGCTGAAAAATCAGAGTCCCCAGCTATTTGGATTTTTGCAAATCTCTATTAATATAGGATTCGCAAGAAGACAGAGACTGCATGGCACGCACAGAGCGTGTCTGGATCAGTTACATAGTTACATAGCTGAAAAGAGACTTGTGTCCATCAAGTTTAGCCTTCCTCACATTTGTTTTTTGCTGTTGATCCAAAAGAAGGCAAAAAAACAGTTTGAAGCACTTCCAATTTTGCAACAAGCTAGGAAAAAAAATCCTTCTTGACCCCAGAATGGCAGTCAGATTTATCCTTGGATCAAGCAGTTATTACCCTATATTGAAAGATTATATCCTTGAATATTCTGTTTTTTCAAGTATGCATCTAGTAACTGTTTGAACATCTGTATGGACTCTGATAAAACCACTTCTTTAGGCAGAGAATTCCACATCCTTATTGTTCTTACAGTAAAAAAAAAACTTTCCTTTGCCTTAGACGAAATCTTCTTTCTTCCAGTCTAAACGCATGACCTCGTGTCCTATGTAAAGTCCAGTTTGTGAATAGATTTCCACACAATGGTTTGTATTGGCCCCAAATATATTTGCATAATGTTATCATATCCCCTCTCAGACGACGTTTTTCTAAACTAAATAGGTTTAAAAAGAATGCCATTTTTCATGCATGACAATACCTTACTGGCCTTAGCCACTGCTGATTGACATTGCACATTGTTGCATAGTTTGTTGTCTATAACAATTCCCAAGTCCTTTTCGTGTGTTGTTATCCCCAATTCGCTGCCATTAGGGTATACATTGCTTGTGCATTCTCTACGCTGAAGTGCATAACTTTGCATTTTTCAACAATACATTTCATCTGCCATTTGAGTGCCCAGTCCCCTAGTCTATCTAAATCCCTCTGCAGCAAAGTTCCTCCATTCCGCCCCCCATATCTCTCCTTTCGACCTCCTGCTACTGGGTAACTCTTATAATGTATATAGTTCCTCGTTGTCTCCGTTAAGGTGGTTGTGGGCAGTATTACGGTAACTTTTAATTGGGAGCAAAGGGATGGGTGGGGCCTGACTGCCAGGCTGACAGGATGCTTAGCATTCTAGCTCCTGAAAATATCTAGGCCTTTAGGCTTGTTCAAGTTGCTAAACTGCTAAAACTTGATTTCTAAGCAGGGCTATTATATAGCAGACCGAGCTAAAGCTAAATTGGATCCTTCTCCGCCTTCTCAGCCTTCTCATCGGATATTGACTATTTTGGAGCAGTTCTTGACTGTGCGGCCTAGTCTGGAGTGCCAATGTGTGCAGGTAGGCGGCTGGACCCTTGTACTACAGTAATCCAGTCTGCCTGAGTTCCTGCAACACATATATGAAGCAAGAAAAATGAGTTTATTGTCTTAATATTCTTGAGGTGAAAATGTTGTACAGATGGTATATGGTTCCAACCAGACTATCCAAAATGTATCCTTCAAATCTTTCTCTATGTTTGAGATGTTTGCAGCAAGATGAATCTATAAAACA